TTTCACAGGCATTAGAGAGCGTAAACCGAATTGGGAAGAAAGGTGATTCAGCATCTTCTGGAGACCTGCTCGGTAGCTGAGTAGTGGAGTGACACTGCTCTTCTGCAAGGTTTCTAAAAATTGACTTCTGAGAAATCTTCCTGTGATGCTTTAAGAAAATACAGATATTGAATGAGGAGAAGGGCTAGAAGAGCAGGTGGGAGGAGGAGAGATCTACGGGGCATACCAAAGATGTTTAGCAATCAGGACAGTAAAAAGCAGTGTGTTATAAAGCATGATAAGCCTAAGCAAAAGGATGGAGAGTAAGAGTATATTGTTATTGCTAATTAAAAATGCTAGAATATTTCTTCAAGCCTGGGGGAAGGACAGGACATATCTATAACCTGGTTCAGAAGGAATGAGATGTAGCAGTAAACAGCAATGGTTTTTACCAGGTGACAATGTTTACAACAGTGAATCAAAGCGAGCTGTAAAGAAACCAGAGCAGCACTGGGTCTGCGGGTGGGAGCAGCCTCTCCCTTAGCCCCCGAGGTGGCGAGTGCTGTTCGGACAATTGGTGCTGTTCAGTACCCCCGCCAGGAAGGACAGTTGTCCCTGTCACTGCGCTCAGAGGAGCAGACACAGCGAGGACAGTGTTGCTGCTCCCCTTGGAAAGGCCGAGCCCGTTCCGTGGGATCTCCCAGGGAGTCTGCGGCACATCCCGCTAGGAGGTCATGTAAACCCTGTTCGTTCTTCCTGCCTCCCTGAGAAGCAAGGGCTTTGCCCCCAGGCAGGTACTGACCGGCTTGCAGCTGCTCCCATAGAGCTCTCCCATAAGAACAGCCTCTGGGGAAGTAAAGCAGGGATTTAGCCCCCTGCTCACCCAGCATAGAGAATTGAGGTCGCACCAGATTTCTGTCTCAATCTCTTCAGATTTCCTTGGAATGCTTTCACATATGAAGTTAAAATAGAGACCACAGGATAACAATATGCAATTCAAATTTGCTCTGCAACAGCAGGATGTTTATACCTATCTGTCCTAAAAATTCATTTGTGATATTTTTTTTTGAAGTTATTGTTTCATTTTGGTTTCCTTCCTGCTATTTTTTCCACTGTAGCTTTGGTGAACTGGCTGCTTATTTGTTAATTACCCCTTTTCTTGAGTTGCCACGTAGGTCTCGTTATTATTATTAACGCTTTTACACTTGGTTCCTGGAGAAGTCTCCTCCCTCCTCCCCGCGCAAGCACAAACACACATTTTATCAACAGCACTAACATGATTGCTGCTCTGCTGTTATGTTTTATTTATTTCCATATAGGTTTGATTCCATTGCAGTTTCTCATTTTTGCCTGATGTATTATTCATGATTTATTCAATATTGGAGCTTGTGTAGGATACCCTCATTTTATTAGCTGAGCTATAATTTTTGAAGATATATAAAAATAAAACATGGTGAGCTCTTTTCATACTTTTTTGTGTGTGATATTTGTAAGAAAGAAACACCTAAACTCTGATTAAAGCAATTATCTGTTTTACTTTTAACACCTCAGTGACAGTATTGAAATAAAGGAACATGTTACTCATTGCTTGATCTGGGGCAATATAATAGCCATTGCTGTCAATATTAGTCCTGTCTAGTAATGCATGGGCATCCTTGTCAGGTTTGAAATATTGTGTATAATTTCATGTATGTGAAGTGCCCTTTAGGCTCAGGGTAGCAGATCTAACATACAAGTGTTTTCCCTCTCTGAGCATATGTTTAAGCAGCCTTAATATGCTTGTTGCTAATTTAATCCTTCTTGGTGTACATGGTGCTTGTATAACTGTCGAGTTTCTATGGTTTAATCTTGTGTGGACGTTCTGATTTGTTTTCTGTCTTTCCCACTTAGTTCTTTCCAGTCACCATGGAAGACATCAGAGAACAACCAAGACTGTCCATCCTCTGTCTCTTCCTGTGTATAAGGAGACCTCAGATAACACTTTCCCATACATCAGTCAGTATAAACCTTTATGATTGACTTCAGTGCAACTCAGCCAGACCTTGGTGTTACAGATTTAATGACTCTTTTTCCATCACATGTTTATGCTACTCTACTGTTAATTCTTAAGTTTATTAGAGCTGCTGGTACTCCAGGCTTTTTATTATATAAGTGCAAAGTTGCTTCTATCAGCATGATGCCATAAATTGTCCATTGACCACTCCTGGAACTGGAAGAAGTAAATACAAGGAAAATCAAGAAGTTTTGATTCTCTTGAGTCAACTTCTCTCCTTGAACTGTAGTAGGCAGGGAAAAAGTTACAAATATCACCAGCATCTTAATGCCAGTAGCTGGTGGTGGTGTTCACCAAGGGAATGCTTGTGTCCTTGGAACACTAGAAAGGGCTTTCTATGGAAGCACCACCTTGGGAATAGTTGGCAAGCTGTGGCACTAACCCTTTTATTAAGTCCTGCAGCAGATTGGAACCAGTCTTGTTGGCTTAAGAGTCTCATTCTCATCTTCTCCCGGGGAAAAGAATTGCTGGCAGGATGCAGAACTAAACCCTGTGAGTTTGCCCGAGTTTCTTTGGTTGAAACAACATGGCCTGAGCAGTCGTTTGCATTTCAAAAGCCTTTTATCCTGAAGATATAAACTCAGCAAAGGCTAGTACCTGGTGTGAGATGTATAATTTGAAAAGCAAAGCGGTTGTATAGACAGGGTTTTCATGAGAGTTCTGCTCCAGTTTAAACAGTATAAAGTTCAGGATTTTCAGGAAAAGCTTATGCTGTGAGCTTACAGTGGATATACCAAGTTCTGGGGAATGATATTTACAAACATTTTTGGAAGTTTGAGATCCACTAAGGCTGCTGAGAATTAGGAACATGTCTCCACTAGATTTCCTGAGGTCAGAAGGGAGATGAGTGGCTGAGTGAAGAATAATAATAGTTAAAACACATTAGCACTCTTTAGACAGTTAACTTTCTCCAGATGTCCAAAATAGTTCTAGAATTACTTACTGGAAAAGAGTGATAAGATTGTCTAGAGTTGTGCAGTTCTCTGCAGTGATGAGACAACAAATGGTGTGTGTGTTGAGGAGTGTTGAGGAGATCCGGGCTGTTCAGCTCCCCCAGCCTGTGCTGTGTGTGTGTTAGGGCTGGAAGCCGATGTGCGATGGGGTTATAATTGGCTCTAAACACAACGCATGGGCCCCCGTATTTTTTTTGATGCTGAGGGTCACCATCATCAATTTAGTATATGTTCTGTCACATGTGCTGGCATTAAGATAAATTAGTTTCCCTGTGCTTGTCTGAAGAGTTTGGAGGTCAGGAATTGTCTCAGGGCGTTTATTTCCTTCATTACCTGTGTGGAATATATGCAAAACCCAGCTCTTAGTGCTAACCCGTCCTACATGGGCTCTGACTAGCTTCACACTTGAGGATTTCCTCTGTGCAGATCACTACATCGTAAATGAGCTGTTGGTATAACAGTCCTCAGCAAGTTGGTTTTACACACATTTTAATGATTGGTTGGTTATTAACTCTAGTAAACATTGTGAAGCGAAAGGAAAAGAAAGGAAGGATATATGATTTCTCTATTATTTGGCATTGTTTTAAATGAAACTCTTGCAAAGATGCATATCACTTTAATTTTGGTTCCGGAGGCTTTTATGTAAATTAATTGCATTGGAGAATTGTCAAGAACATTTATTCAATTTAGAACAGCCATGATTATAAGCTTTACATTAATATAACAACAATTTAACAGTGGCTGATAGATGGGACACAACCATGTAATTATCAAAAGTGAGCCACTCTTGATCTCTAATTAGTTCTATAAGCAAATACAGTTTTGCTGGAACTAATTGCTATATTATGGTTGGCAGTGAGGTGAGCACTGAACTCGGGTTCAGGTACTGAGGACAGGGTGTAGCACATGCAAACATTTTCCTGTTTTCTGGTCTAATCAGATGCACAATTCCATTAAGTATCACTGGGCAGAAGGTGTTTGTGCACGCACCAGCATCCTGCCTTTGCTGCCCTTCCCTTGCCCTGTTGCTGTACAGCAAGGCACAGGCCTGGGGTCTTGCTGGGCTGCGGTGTCTAAACCAAGTAACGGGGAGCATCTCTTTGAGTGCTGGAAAAGGCCAATTTTGTAAAGTCTGTTTAGTTTTGTCACTGCACCATAAATGGTATATCTCAGTTTTTATTGCCTGTTTTCTCTTTGCAAATTCTTTCTTTCATTAGTAAACCAATTACCAAGTGCCGCTGCTTAGTTGCAGCTCAATCTGAGCAATTGTCCTAGTACTAATTGCTTAAGGGCAACTACCACGATCTATCAAGATCATAGCTGGGCAGCACTAATGCGTTTAGTGGGGAGATTATTGAATTTATTAAGCATTTGGCCTGATGCAGCTTCTAACGAATGTGCTTTGTGAATATGACAGTCCTGGCGAGTGAATTACAGACTCATTACTCGGGCTGCTAGAGCCCCTTGAATAGAAATCATGATTCCTGTCAAGGCTATTAGCTCCTTCACAAAACAAGGGCTGTCATTTCAGAAAGTTGCTCTGTACGTATTACAGACTCCAGCATACGATCCAGTTGCTTCCTATCTCTTACCATTACTCCTCATAGACCTGGAATGTTTTCTGTCCAGGGATTTTTCAGTATCTGACAGGGAGACTGGGTTTGCCTCAAGGAAAGGCCCTTCAGATCTTGCCAGGTTCTGGGTGAGTTACCCGGTCAGCAAACACAGGGCTGGAATGAGCAGCATGATTCTTTATTCCTGCCTTTATAAAGGAAATACAGCAATGGGATGGGATGTGCAATCGTCAGGAATATTATATATTTTATGTATATTGCAAACAAACTTTTGGATCTTGCTGAAGTAGTGGTGAGCTATGGTACCAACTGAATACAGTGTCTGTACTTCTAGAAGCTGGAATTTGATGACCTATACAGTTATTTCCAATTTTTATGCTCCTGAATAAATACAGATGTATTTTTTTGCTGCAGAAACCGGCCCAGTTGCTCTCCCCAGTGCTGCTCCGGTGACCTGACCTGATGCATTAGCTTCTCCGTTGGCTTTTGTAGCTGCATCCCATGTCTGACAGGAATCACTACTGGAGGTAGACGGAGCCCGTTTCTTTTTCTATCGCTCCCTGCAGAAGTCTGAGTTATGAGAGCTGGGTGACACTTAGTGTGTAAGGGGCCTGTAAAAGTAAGAAATGCAGGGGTGTGTCCCCCGTCTCATACATCAAAGGCAAATGGGATAAATGCTTGTGCTGAGAGGGGAAACCAAGCAAGGGGTTGTGTGAACGCATGAGAGAGTGCCTCATTTGAGGCTGGCAGCCGTGAAGGGGGTGCTGCCCTGCAGCAGCTGCTGTTGAGGCTTCCCCATCAGGATCACCCTCGTGTGAGTGGTGGTCCAAAAGCGGTAGCTGCAGATTCACAGCGAGCTTGTGACTCAGAAGCTCCAACTTGGGCCAGTTCTTTCCTCTGTGCTCTTGAGATGTCCCTCGTTCTAAATGCTGCAATGTGGCTACCACCCGGGTGAGAAGCGACCTGGGTATTGAAAGGCCTAGGAACAAGCCAAGGAGCTGATCCTCTTCCCTAAAGGTAGCTGCAAAACTTAGCTTCAACTGTGTGTAGTCAAGCCTGGAAATGAAATAGGGTCCATTGCCAAGCTTCTAAGCAGTTGTTTTGTAAAGAGCAGCAAAGAATACTCAAGGAATTATGAGCAGTGCTACCCTCCCAGCGTCTTTGTCACGTTTTGGAGGTCAGTAACACAGGCTTTGTTGTTGTCAGCAGGGTGTCAGTCTGCCAACTGCTGAGCTATTGCTTCTTATAGCCACCTCTTCCCTTTCCTTGTGTGTTTTTATTTTCAAAGGATGGGATTATGAAGCAGAAGAGCAGATTGAAAGGGTTTTCAAAGCCCCCTGCAGCTTCAGAAACGTTGGCTTTGGCTAGTGTCCCTTTCTTTCCCCACCCTCAGTGCTCACTGTACTGAAGTCTTCAAAATCTATGGCTGTAAAAGTAAGTGGTCTTTATACAGGCCCTGCTTTTTGCCTTGTGAGCCAGGCTTAAGAGGAGCAGTCATTGATCTCTTGCCTTTCAGTGTCACAGAGGACAGATAACCTTGTCCTTCCTACCAGCTCTAGTGGTGGCCTGAGCCTGCAGCAGTTTTCTGTGTAGAACCGCTCTCAGAGCCATGTGTGAGTGTCTGCAAACGTGGATTTTGTAGAGAGGAATGGAAGTGACCTTAATCAAAGGTAATGACTTTGCTTTTTGAGGAAGAAAAGAGACTATAAATCTTGGGGTAAGCTCTTGGTGTTTGCGTTGCTCAAGAGCAGCTAGATCACAGCTGTTTTAGCAGCAGTTATGTGGGAAAACAATGCCAGTGTTTTTGTCCATGTTCTTACCCTCCTCTCCCAACATCACCAGTGGTGCCAGCACGAAGGCCGGACAAGAGCAATAATCGTGAGGAAGAGGCAGCTGCTTCTAGGGCCCAATCGTGCTGGGGTTTCCTGTTTCGAGCATGGTCTCTCATCCAGAGATGGCACCAAATCCGTGTTCTTCCAACAGCCTTTGCAGTTAATGGAGAATCAAAGGCAGACTGAGGAATATGAGGGCCTTGTTTCAGCTTTCATAGGTGAGTTGATTTTTGTTGGTAAAGCCTGATAATAGTCTTCAGATTGCAGTATATGTTCATGTTAAACATTTCAATTTGAATTTGTTTTCTTTCATCTCTTGTACACAAATGCGTTTTAAACTAAGGTGACTTTTCTGAGAAAATGAAGGAATTTCTTCCCAGCCCTCCCTGAGCTTTATAAGGCCATATCATTCATTTTAATAGGAGAAGTCAACAAAACTTTGAGGAGAGCACCCTTCCCTCTCAGATGATTGCTGTGCTGGACGGTGGCCGCGGGCCTCGCTGAACTACGCGGGAGCTTTCCCCAGGGTTGGGGTGAAGTCGGCACCTGCAGATTCCCTGCAGAGCCCACTTGGTAAGTGACAAAGATGTGTGTCCTGCTGCAGAGATCCAGGGCTGCTGGCAGCCTGTCAGCTAGCCAGGAGCAGGGAGCACTCAGGTCGTGCTCGCCGCCTCCCACACCCTTCATTTCTGCCTTTACTTTCTGCTCAGGTTGGCCCAGCTTCCCAAGCTGCTGCACAACCTGCATAGCTCTAAGCTAATTTTGCTTCCGTGTGACAGACGGCTGTGCAACGTGGAGGCACATCGCTGAATCGCGCATCTCCCTAATGTTGTTTCACAGTTATTCCGCAGTACATTAGTTATCTTTTACACTACCATGTGTTACATTTCTACTTGAGAATTGCAGATACCTGCAATAGCTTTCCATTTACCTGGCCTCCTCCCTTAGGGCATTTGATTAATAGACTTGGAAGTGGCCAAATAATTTCCTGCCATTAATCATATTCTTCTGTCTCCATATTACCTGAAATCATTACAGCTGGAGATGTTTTGAAGTGCATTTGGCTGCATTTTAATGCTCACTCCAAACAAAGGAAGTTGTTCTTTCTTATAAGTAGTTGAAGAAATAAATTGGAAATTTGCACTTTCTGTTGCATCACGAGGGTTTGCAAAGCTCTTATTCAGATTAAATACATTTCTTCCCTCTCTGCAAGTGGTGAAAGTGCCTGGAGTGTAGAGGTCAGCACACATCAAAGTGCTTTTCTAAGCATCTCTTGCCAAAAAGAAGAAGAAAATGAAAGGATAGGGTGCACAAGTACATTCATTCTGCATCAGACCTGTTCCAGCTAGAGCAATCTTCAATCTCCAACACTTATTAGCATGAATTACTCAGAAATTTTGTGGTAGAGGAGCAGAGTGGTGGTGTCGCAAGGGAAAGTTTTCCCTATCTGTCATTAGAGGAGTTTGTGCTATGAGGAAGAGTGGCATTTTTATTGTAACTGTTATATCTGGCTTGAAGTAAGTGTGGATACATCCAAAAAACTTTCATGTCGCATTGTGAAAATAAATCCATCTTGTGAATCAAATCCATCCCATATTTAATTTTTTTGGTGTTATTTTTTGATTTCATTTTGCAGGCTTACCAGCAACATCCTAGTTTGTATATTCAAAACTAGTCCTGAATTTTGTTGCATCCTGAGAAACAATTCCAGGTGACTTGGAAGGGCGGTCCAAGTTTTTGAGGACTGGCAGCTGGAGATGGTTTCTGGAAGCCCTGGCTCCGAGAGGCCCAGCAGCTGCAGCCCCAGCGTTTTGCAGTACGTGCTGAGGGTTCTTGCAACAGGACATGATTTTCACTGGATACTTGTAGCTGACCGAAGCAGCTCAATTTGCAATTTATCAGAAATTTCCTTCTGTTTTCTCTGTATCACCAGCTGTAGCATCTGCTCATGGTTCGCAGGAGGTATTTATTTGACTCTGAAAGCATGCGCTATTTCATGCAAAAATAATTACTATGCATAATCACTGATGAAAAACAGATGAAATACTGGTTTTGGTAGAAAACAAAGCAAACCATATTTAAGTTATTGCTTTGTCTGAGTGTAAAAACATCACCTAGGCTCATAAAAACATACTTTTGTCATCTCTGTGACTCCTACCTCTGAATAAATAAACTTATGTGGGCCAGGAAGCGAGCTGGAAGTGAATAATAACATGGTTAAGGCTGCAAGGAAAGGGACATCCTAACTAGTAGAGTAAAATTATTCAGGCTGACTTTGGTCAATGACGAAGGGCCCTGCCATAGGCCAGCTAGAGAACTTGATGGATCAGCCTTGTGATTCTGTATGGCAAAATCTCCCCATATGCTTCCTACATGGAGAAATATATCCCATCAACAGTGTTCTCCTTATGCATTTTGTACTTGGCTCTTCCTTTCCTCACGGGCCCCCCGGCAAAGCAAAGGGGAATACAACATCTGGTGAAGCCCCTGTGTCATAAATCTTAATGTTCTTGCGTAGGGCTGGGATCATGCAGTGAAACATCAGAAGAGAGAATTCATAGGCATCCCACATCTGCTGGAGCTGATCTGCTAAAATGCAGCCATTCAAGTGGAAAACCAAACCATACAATGTGTATATGTGTGCATATATATATACACACACACACACACGTACCCTGTTTTTTGTTTTACCGATGTTCCAGGTTTTATCTCGTTAGACAGATTGCTTCCTGCCTAGTTATGGCTGGAGACAAGGTAGCAGCTATCCTACTTTTTGGCTTCTCTCTCACTGCAGATCATGAAGGATTAATTAAAATGGTGTGAAGCTGAGAGCATCAGGCCACATGGAATTGCACTGAGAAGTGGTGAGACTGCTGTTTTCTAGGACTTGGAAAAGGAAAAAAAAGAATTAGGAAAAGTAGGTGTTCTGTTCCCAGTCCTAGAGAATACAGCCCTATACCCGTGTACAGTCTGCATGTCAGCTGTTTTCCTCCTCGCCCATTTGTGAGAGTGAAGCCTCTCTGCACACCTCCCCCCGAGTCTGGCTTGAATGCTTCATTCTCAAGGTGTCTCTTAAATGCCACCAACAGTCCTGCTAAGTTAGGAGGTGGGTGCAAGAGCTGATGCAGTGGGGCTTGATGCCATGGGAATAACTGGATACATTGCAGGCAAGTGAAGAAAGTTGCAAGGTGCCTCCAAAATTCCGATTATCTCCAACTGTTCTTTTTAAGAGAGCTAAGGCTGCCTGACCGCAGGGCTCATGCATCTCTGTTTCCCTTTTTTCCTCTCTCTGGTCTCATCTGTGTTAAATCCTCCCAGCGGTACCATCTCCACCTCACCTCAAGGAAATGTGTTTGATGGATTGCTTCACTGGCTTGAATGGCTGAAGTGCTGCAGGGCGATACACAGGTTAGTTGCAAGAAAAAGTGCAATCATTATTTCTGTTATTAATTACTGTACAGCTATTCAAACCCAACTCTGCTCAGACACCTGAAAAGAGCAAACCCACCACATGCTTAAAGGCTACACAGCAACTGTATGTTTTTGAATGAAAAATTTTCTGCAGGGCTGGTCCAGGCATTTCAATTTATTCCGTGCAACTTCTTTAGCACAGAGAATGCAACACTAGCTATGTGTGTTTAAGATCCTTGGAATTTTAATATTCAGGGTTTATTTGTGTAACTTGGACATGTTTGTTGCATCTGAGGCTGCTAAATGCAATCTGTTCTTTCAAGTATGTGCACAAACTATAGTTAATTTTGGACATTGGACATAGTCAAAAAAATGAGGGGTTGATTCTGATGCTGTTCTTGCTGTGCAAGTCAAATGACCTCTGGATTTGTTGAAGAGCAGAACTCAGCCTCAGGAGTCCAGGATTTATAATCCTGATGAGTGTTCTCCTATTCTGTGTACTATGTGTGAGTGCTAGCAGCTTTTCTGCACAAAATAAGTAGGTTTGCCCTTTGCTTTTCTAATTCCAAAATACCCCCAGGCAGCAGTTCACCTTCTGGAAGAATAACTTGCAGAAACCTTTAGAAGTATATGGATACAGAGATAGATTTTTAAATTACAGTGCAGCGAAGGCAGCGATGCTGGGGCCCCTCCAGGGCAGCAGCAGACTCTTGGGCAAAATTGTATGGGAGCCCAGGACCGGCACAGAAGCTCCTGCAGGCTGGGATGGGCAGATCTCTGTCATACCAGTGCAACCTGGCCCTTTGCCCTGTTTTTTTTTTTAATACAGGTCTGTCTAAGGTGCTTCCATCACATTGGGTGTGCAGGTGCTACGCGGAGCTGTGCTCCTTGTCTGCGGGTGGTGGTGGAGCTGCAGAGAGCTGCATTTCCTCGTGTTGGCAGAGCCCTGAAGAGCAGAGGGCCTGGAAATACAGGCCTTGCTGATGGGTGACAGGGGAGCTTGTCTCCCTAGGGCTGTTGAACCTAGGCGTGAAGCTGGTCACAGCACCAGCGCAGTTGACAGGCAGATAAAATCCAAAGCTAGTAACAGATTACTTGGAAGCCCACTCCTCCTATCTCAAAGTGCTGCCTTACCATTAAGTCCCTCCTCTTCCAAAGAGCAGTGTAGTAATAATCATTCCTAGTTGGAAATGGAGGGGGCAGAAATCTTTCAGGTGTTATTTTGTACAGAAAAAGCATAATATGCTGGAATGTAGAAGTTTATGTTGAAATATTGACTTCACTACTACAGCATGGCTTGCACAGACACATCTTATTGCATGTGTTAATGAACGTCGGTCTATGGCTGTAATGTATTAATATGTTTGTGAATAAATAGTGATTGCTTGTGTTGAAGTGCACATCTCAGCTAGAAAACCTGGTCTTTAAATAACACTTTTATTGTTCACAGACAGGACTAGGGAATTGGATTCCAGAGAGCAGAGGTTATAAAAAACCAAACAAGGGGCCTGATTCTCTTATTACATTCTCTCATTTTCCACCTCTGAAACTGCATCAGCTTTATCAGAGCTGCCCCTGATTCAGTGCAAGAAAGAGGAGGCTCTTGGGACTATTTGTTCCAAAGAAAGCTAGATCAAATTGCTCAGAATTAAGAATTTTGTTTTTAGGTTCCTTGGGTAAAAAGGAGAATTCCAAAAGCAAACTGCAAACTATTCATATGAGGTGAATATTTCTGTTGCTGCAAGATGGGTAATTTCACTTCACCTTTACTACCTCACAGTGGCAAATTTCAAAAAGGAG